GATACAACTTTTAAAACAGGATTGCTCACTTTTTCTGCTTACCTTAAGCTAAACTGTTTTTTTCGAAAAAGAAGAAGAAAAAACGAAGAATGATGAATAAAACAATTGCTTACCCATCCCAAAGCCTCAGTCGATGTAGCAGCACTCCACTGCGAGTCTGGCTATTTGTCAGTCGATGTATGTACTGAAGCCCCCAGCAGCAGACTATTTCAGTATGACGTCAGATTGCTTACCTTAGTACGCAATACTATTTGTATATGTATAAATATATATAAATATATATATATATATATATATATATATATATATATATATATATATATAATATATATATATATATATATATATATATATATATATATATATATATAGATAGATAGATATATATATATATATATATATATATATATATCTTCTCGTAATTCAATTCGTAATGTTAAATAAAAGAATTTTATTACTCTTACCACTTCTTCTCGAGATACAATCTGTTTTAAAATAAATTACCAACACTTCTTCTCCTGATTCACTCTTTACATGTTGAATTAAAAATACTTTTCCTAATTCTTCTCTTTTCATAAATTAAAATTTTTATTTTGAACTTTTAATTGTTTTTGCATAAAAAATTAATAACATAAGGATTCCTGTTTATGTAAAAAGATGCTATTATTTACATTTAAACACATTTAACAAAACTAAAGGACATTAGGTATTGTGGTTTATCCTTCTCCAGCTAATTGCCATACGGAGGCCACATTACCAAGGACCGCAAAGACAAGTTCAGCTAATAAATAGCGTCATTGCCTGCTCTACGGACCAAGAGTAAAGTGAGTTTAGGAAGAACGAAGAATGTTAGAGTTTAAGACAGAAGAAGTCGTGTTAGAAAGATAGCATACAGAAAGCGGACAGGATTGCACACGATGTTAGAAGGTGCAAACAATATTTCGCCAATATTGGCATAACAATATCAGTAAATCGATAATGGGATAATATTGGCGCAATATTTCGCAAATATTGGCATAATAATATCAGTAAAACGATTATGGATAATTTTGGCGCAATATTGTTTGCCAATATTGGTAAGACAATATTGGCGTAATATTGCTTGACAATATTGGCGCAATATCTTGGCCAAGATTAGCCAACATACCCAATATTGTGCCAATATTACGCCAATATTGTTTGCTACTTGGGTACTTATACCTCAAAGCGTTACCAATTACTTTAAAATTTGGTCACTATTTTTAAAATAACGGTTACATGAGTGTTCTACTATGTAATACCAACATATTTTGCTATAATCATTTTATCGGTACATGTGCAGTTTTCATTTTATAGACCAAAATAGTGATTTTTTACTTAAAGCGTGATTTGAATTAGTTTATGGCAATGGCGTTGACACGGCCTTCAAAGTGGAGGGGGTCAACCCCTAAATTTCTAAAAAAAAATCCATAATTTTTAAAATAGTTGCCTATATTTCTAAAATGAAAGGTCCTCGCAAAAAAAAAAAATAGGCAGGCCATGGCTCCCTTGACGGCCATGTATCCATAGCGTGAATAAACTAACATTGCAAAAAAATTCTAAAAAAGAGGTTTAGAAGGATTTCTAGAGATACCTACATAGAAAATAAAAATATTTATTTATCTGAAAACAGAACAACTGTGAAAAAACCAAATATTTTTTATATTGACAAAGATAATTGACTTAAAAAATTTAGATAAGTTAACTAAGATATCTGACCAAAACAAAGTTTGGAGGGCCAGTCGGAGGAAAATCACTCTAACTGAATAAAATATTAGGTTGAAGGGTTGTTTTGAAATAAAACAAATCGTGTGACAAGTATCATTAGTTTAATAAGTGTGACAATTATCAATAATGTTATTTCCTTTCAAGTAAATAGTTTAAACAATTGTTTCCTGGTAAGGAAAGAACTATTCAAGATTTGTTTCCTTGTAATTTAGTATTACCTCAATTAAATCAAGTAAATATTTCCTTTATTTTAATAGTTTTTAACTAATAATATGTGTTACTATGTTAATTGGATTGTTATCAAATATAAATTTATGTCAAATTTTGTAAAAGGAAGAGATTGATTTAGTGATAAGTCAAATTTAGTGAATTGCCACGATGCCAAATCAAGCAAAGAATCATGATGAAAATCGAAAGTTTGTGTGCTTGCTCAGTCTGAAAAAATGTTTAAGATACTACTTTTACTTACTACTTTTCAAGCATATCGAGTATGCCAACTGTACAAGACCAAGATCAATATCAGTGATACTAGGTACCAAAAGGATTATGCGAAACGTGTAGAAATACTTTGCGAAGAAAACAAGAGGGAAAAGAAGTTATGTTCCCTCCTTTGTTTGATTGAAAAGAAAATTTGATTGAGAAAAAACCAAAAGTGCGTTGCAGCAAATGCTTCAGCCCTTTAAGAAAAGGTTTGCCCCACCAATGCTCTCAAATAATGTTAAGGGAATACATGCAGTAAAAGATGCCAAATCATCCGAACAAATCGCATCTCGAGTTATTTCCAATAAAGAATTATCTCCGAAAGGATTTATTCTACTGGCTAAAGCATTCGGCGGGCCTCCATTTATAGTTACCCTTACAAAATATTTATACTTGAATAATTTTAACATATATATTGAAAAAAAGTTTTGACTATTAAGAAATAGCACTAGATAGATTTCAAGAAGTATATTTTTGACAAGTTTCTAATTTCTCTTTTAATTTCTCAAGGGCTACAGTGGTCAATTTCTCCGAAATTGACCACTTGTAAATGTGCAATTAAATACGGGCATATCAAACAACTGATTAAATAAGGGCATGTCAAAGAAACTTGTTAGAACTGTAAACAAAATATCAAGCAGCAATACGGTAGAGCAAAACTTCTAAAACTGCAATAAATCCTACACCAGTTATCCAATCAGACTGAAATTTTGTCCAGAGTTTGGTGTGACTATTGGCTACATTTGCACCAATTTTTATCAAATTATATTGAATGGTTCAAATTCTACAAGTGTTTTTATTGGCGCGCTATGAAGTCATAATTTGAATTAATTTGATAATTCAAATTAAATTATTTTCCGCGGACAAAATTAAGTGATTTCAAAATTTTAAATAACTTTCCGTATAAGTGGCGTTCTTGCGACAGCTAGGTAGGCATTATAAGAATCCGTGCTAACCGTGTAATATCGTCACAACAGACATTTTTAATTAAGATATATCCGACCAATTTCCTATAATCCTGATTTTAAATTCAAATTTAGAAAAAAATAGTAACACCTCAATATTGCAGCCATTTTTCAAAACGCCAATATTAACACCTCAATATTGCAGCCGAAATATAATAAGCATATTAGGCATTTTTAAAAACGGCTGCAGAATAGTTGCAAAACAAACATATTTTTAAACGAAAAAACCTTGAACTATTTAAAGATCAGCTTTATTCCATTAGAATCTAAAAATTGATTAAAATTGATTTTAATGACAATACAAATAACACCTTCAAAATATTTTATAAAACATTGTTTTCTGTTTACGAAGCTAATTTTCCAATTGTTGAAAAAATAAATAATAATAAACTAAAGCTCAAAAAGTCCCTCTCAAGCAGTAATATATATAAACTCTTCACTATGAATAAAGAATTAAAACATATATCAAATTAGTTTAAATGTAATAAGCTAACTTTAAATATTAATAAAACCAAATGAACTCTATTCCATTCGTATCCAAAAAGCGATTTTTAACAAAAAACTTGCCGCAACTTTATATAAACGAAATAAAAAATGATTCCGTTACAAAATTCTTAGGCGTTTATCTCAATGAAAACATCTCATGGAATCAACACATTAATTAAATATCTACTAAAAACATTAGGGTTCTATATAAAGCTCGGAAATATCTTAACAAAATTTGCTTAAGCTAACTTTATAACTCTTTTATCCACAGTTACATAATTTATGCTAATACTACTTGGAGAGTACTGTAAAAGGTTTTTTACAGTACTCCCCCATGATCGCATGTTTTTGACGACAATAAACTTCTTTACCGTCGTCAAAAACACGCGATACGCATAATTAACAGTGCTGATCGTTTTACACATGCAAAACCTATTTTTAATGAAATGAGATTATCAATTTTATTTAAACTCAATGTATTTAAAATTTTATGTTTTGTATATTTATGGAGAAATAATCTATCCTTTACCGCTTTTAATAATACTTTCAAAATCAAACCTAATATAAAAGGTGAGACAAACTTTACATATAAATAAGAGACACATTTTTTAAATGAGTCGCTTTGTCACACAAAATTTAATCAATTTTTCATTACTTATCATGAACCCCATCTATGGAAATATATTGTTTTACTGGATTTTAATCTACCAAATTCCTTTTACCTTTTCAAGCTCAACCTAAAAAGTAAATTTTAATTTTTACTTTATCTTTTAGTATGTTATACTTGTCTTTATTTTGCTTATTTGTATTATATTAATGTCTGACGACAAAAACTTGTGATCTTCTTTCAGATCCTAGCGTATTTTTCATTTTTAGCAGTTTATGTATGTGCGCATATATACATTTGTAAGTATATATATATATATATATATATATATATATATATATATATATATATATATATATATATATATATATATATATATATATATATATATATATACATATATATATTTATATATATATATATATATATATATATATATATATATATATATATATATATATATATATATATATATATATATATATATATATATATATATATATATATATATATATATATATGAGTGTTTTTTCTATTTTAATTAGGCTGATATTGGAATTTTTTTAATTGTAACACGATATATATGGAATATATAATTGTACTGTGACATTTTAATGTTAGCGAAATTTAAAAAAAGGACATAAGCTTTTGCCGGCAATATATTTTAGAACTTGCATTAAAAACGGCGACAAAAACCTCTTTATCTAAATAAGCCGATGTTTTTTCACAAGTGTTTCATTCTCTGATTCTAATCGTTTAAAAAAGTTACGGTCTTAAAGCAGACAAAAAAAGGTACAGTTTTCTTTATTTCTCTAATTTTCAGTAATCTTTTGCTTCACATAGTCTTAAACATTGATGACGTTATGCAAAGATTTGCAATTATTATTATTATTATTATTATATTTTCTTTGCCGTATAATTAAATTTACAATGAGAAAAAACTATTCATGTATAAAAATTGGCCGGAGCAAGAAGAAGACATAAACTGTCTTATCGCCAAGCCCCGTTTACATTAACGTCACAAAGTTACAAGTTAAAAACTAAAAGGTTAAAAATTGAAGTACAATACAATATTAGTTCGACAGATATAAGACACAAGTAATAAATCGAATAAATGTTATTTGTCTGTTCAAAATTAATAGTATATATATTTTTTATTTTAATAAGAAATAAACAAGATACACAAGACAATAGTAAATGAGTAGTGATGACTTTTTCAGGTTTAATTATTTTAGGTGATTTTAGAAGAAATCTTTAAAATCGAAAGTTTTTTCTAATAGAAAACGTTTAGATTCTCTTTTGAATTGTTCTAAGGAGATGCCTTGAAGAATTTTATTTTTAATTATATTTTTTAAAAAACCTTTCCATATAAATGGTCCCCGGTATTGAATTTGAAATGAATTGAGTTTTAAATAAGATCTTGGAATAACAAAATTATCAGATGAAAATTTAGTGGGATATTTATGAGATATTTCGGTAAAGTAAGACTGAAATATATTAGGAGATAACGCATGTTTTGTTTTAAACGTAAATAGCATAACTTGGTATATATTAAGTTTGTAAATATTAAGCACATTTAGTTTCTTTAAAAGAGATTCACCATTAACAGTTCTGTTAACGCCAAAAATAATCCTACAAGCATGTTTTTGTTTGCTATAAATTTTTTTGAGCTTCCCATAATTGGTACTTGCCCATGCAAGATTACAATAGGAAAGATAACTATGAATAAATGAGAAATATATAATTTTTAAAGATTCCGTATTAAGAAAAGGTTTAACTTTATATAGCATTGAAATATTTTTGGAGATTTTATTTTCAATAGATCTAATATGATATTTCCATGATATATTTTCATCTAATATCACTCCTAGAAAGTTAATAGTTGACTCTCTTTTAATAACTTTTTTGTTCATAAAGAGATCAGGTAGTTTTAAAAAAAGGTTATCACCTTTACTAGGTTTGTGGAACAACATAAATTTAGTTTTCCCAACATTTAATGAAAGTTTATTATTCGTAATCCATTCATTTATTTTTAATAACTCTTCATTAAAAATTCTAAACAGATCTTTAATATTTCTGTTAGAGTAAAAAAGATTTGAGTCATCAGCAAACAAAATAACGTTTAGAATTTTGGATGCTAAATACAAATCATTAATGAACAGTATGAATAATAAGGGCCCTAAGATTGATCCCTGGGGAACACCACAAGTTATGATATGTTTTTTTTCTTCATTTTCTGTATATATTATGTATTGTTTCCTGTTTGAAAGGTAACTTTTAAACCATTGTAAGTTATTGTTTAATACTCCATACATTTCTAGTTTTTTTATTAGAATATCATGATTAACAGTGTCAAATGCTTTTGACAAATCAATAAAAACTCCTAATGTATAGCAATCATTATTGAACCCATTGTATACATAATTTATTAGATCGACTACTGCATGGTCCGTTGAATGATTTTTTTAAAACCCAAATTGTTTATTATACAGAATATTGTTCTCAGTTAAATAGTTGTTAAGTCTATCATACATAATTCGTTCTAACAATTTAGAGAAACATGGTAAGACAGAAATAGGTCTATAATTGGACATATTTGTATCATCGCCATTTTTAAAAATAGGTATAATCTTAGCAATTTTTAATTTCTCCGGTACAATACCGGATTTTAAAGAAAGATTAAAAATGTGAAACAGTGATGGTTCAATAATATCAAACACGGCTTTAACTACATTTACGCTAATTTTATCAATGCCCGCACATTTATTATTTTTTAGACAGTTGAAAGCATTGCGCATCTCACTTAAGTTTAAATTAGATTCTATCATAGATGTGTTGGGTGTATTTATATTAGATTCGAAGTTGGTTTTTGGAATTTTATCAGCTAATTTTGGTCCAATATCAAGAAAAAATTTGTTGAGCTTGTTAATTATGACTTCTTTATTATAAATTATATCCCCGTCAACTAAAAGTTTTTCTGGCAATTTATTATTTTGACATTTATTTGTACCGATTATCTGCTTAATTACATTCCACGTCTTTTGTGTGTTTCTATGTGTTTTTTCTAGCAATTTTGCATAATAATTTTTTTTAGATTGTTTCTTTATTTTTTCAAACAAGTTTTTATAATTTTTATATTTTGTTTCTTTTTATATGTTTTATGTTTTAAATATTTTTCATAAAGGTTTTGTTTCCTCTTTGATGATTTGAGTAAACCTTTGGTCATCCAAGGGTTTAAAAGTGATTTAGGATTTATAATTTTTTTTATAACTATAAATGCCAAATCATAGTATTTACAAAACTGCGCCAAAAATAATTCATACGCATTATAGCTTTCAAGATCATTTATATAACCTCGTTTGTTCATTAGTTGCAAAATCGTATATGGAAAATTAGTGTAAACTTGAGAAATATATATATATATATATATATATATATATATATATATATATATATATATATATATATATATATATATATATATATATATATATATATATATATATATATATATATATATATATATTCATATAGAGGCGGAATAAGATGTTTTGGGGCCAGGGGCTATTTTAAAGTAGGAGGCCCCTTTTCATGGGCAATGACGAGTAAAAAAAAGACTTTCTTGAAAAAGCTATTGCTGATATTTATTTAAGTTAAGATTTTATATTTATTTTATTAAGCGGTTTCTTTCTGCTTTTATTTTCCGCTGACACATCGCTGAAATCCATAGTTTCTAACAATTTTGATTCAATAGTTAATCTTGCTATATTACTTAAACGACTATGAAGCATTGTCGATTGGTGCATGTTCTTTACTTTTTTAAGAGCAGGAAATGATCTCTCAGCCTAGCAATTTGTTATGGGAATAGTTAGAAACTAATGATATGCTATATAAACATTCAGAAATACATCAATAATATCGGTTCCAACAATCGAATTTAAAACATGCACGGGAATCAATGCGTTTTTAGTTTCAGATTTATTTTTTTTATGAGAAAAAAAAAGCATGTTGCAACTTTAATAATGATACAAATTGTTCTACTTCAAAAATGAAAATATCTTTTAAATCCTTTGAGTACACTTTTACAATTTTATTTTTGCGCTAACTTGCAATTCTATGATGCTAATAGTTAGCAGCTTTGTCAGAAATTTAAATAACTTATTTTTGTGGCTGTAACTTCTTATAGTTAGTTGTGTGATAAGTTTATCAATAATTACAAAAAATGTATTCACTCAAAACTTGTCAGGTATGTTTAAAGTATCAACTTGGTTTTCTCCGTTGCACAATTTTGTAATTACTTTTCTTTTGTTCTTATCAGAATAGTCTTTTTCAATAAACGAGCTAAGTTTTTTCGATTCATTCTCAAATCTCGTAAAGTCGTTTTGTAAGATTTTTACAAAGTCAATTAGTGAAAGTAACATACTGCTTGCTGTATGCAAATCTAATTCAACTTTTTGAAAAAAATTGCTAACTTCATTAAACCTCATAAGTATGTTATGCCAAAGTAAAGCCATGAATGCAAACTCTAGCTTAGTGATTTTATTTAATATACACACAGCTTCATGAGTATCAGACTTTTCTTAGTTTAAAGAGTAACTAAGTTTAAAGGATGTCCAGCTAAATATAAAGAGTTTAAGTTTAAAGATTAAGTTTAAGTTTAAGTTTGAGTTCATTGTCCAACAATGTTTAAAGAGCTTCCAGCTAATTCACTCTGCTCTTTTAAACGTGCTTGTAATCTAGAATATTTACCAGACACATTGCTTACATTACCGTATGCCTGTCCACAACAATTGCTTATATTACCGTATGCCTGTCCACAACAATTGCTTATATTACCGTATGTCTGTCCACGACAATTGCTTAATATCATATTTTTCCAATAGATGTAAAATCTGTCTATGTAATGAGTGTTATAAAAAGTGACAGTTTCTAAAAAAATAATATTAAATGTCTAAAAGGTTATTTGTTTGTTAAGGTAACAACATCAGTTTTCGCCATGTCTTATAACATCTGCCCAACAACGTCTGTGAATATAATGAGGTATAATAACACCTGTCCAACAATATCTGAAATTTGATTGATTTCTAATAACATCTGTTCAACAACATCTGACATTTTGTTGGTGTTTAATAATATCTCTGCAAAAATTAAATGAATATTACAGATGTAGTTACATCTTTTAAATTATTAAAGTGTAATAACATCTGTGCAACTACATGAGTGGATTCTACAGATGTAGTTACATCTTTTAAATTATCAAAGTGTAACAACATCTGTGCAATACATTTTTGGACTTTACAAATTTAGTTACATCTTTTAAATTATCAAAGTGTAATAACATCTGTGCAATACATTTTTGGATTTTACAAAATTAGTTACATCTTTTAAATTATCAAAGTGTAATAACATCTGTGCAATTACATCTGTAGATTTTAAGTTATTTTTAAGATGAATAAACTAGTAATGCATTATTTTAACTAGATGTTATTACGTATATAATTTTTTTCAGATGTAATTATATCTGGAGAAAATTCTTCCAGATGTTATCGGAGAAAAAAAATTACCAGATGTAGTTACATCTTTCTTAATATGTTGTTAGGGGTCGTTGAATTTTCAGATTATATTGGACAGATGTTATTAGAGTAAAAGAAAAATACAGATAGTCTCAGTCAAAAGTGTACAGATGATTTTGAACTACTCCACAGATTTTGTTGGACAGATGTAGTAATCTTTTACCTATTGTTTTTGCAGAGGTTTGTACAAATATTACATTCGATTTTTGATATAAAGCG